AAAAAAAAAAAAAGATTGGAATAGGCTTAAAGCAAAAAAGAAAAAAATACCTAAAGATAGCCTAAACAAAACACGCCCAGCCCTTAGCGCCTGCCTAACTGTCTGCTGGCCATATGGTGTGCGATAAGCCAGAGCGCTTTTATTTACCTTCCGTCAATGTCTGCAAAGCTGAGAGCCAGCCCATGGAGAAGGTTCCACTTGCAGCAGAGGCTACACCAAGCCCTCATCCCTGGATGGCCAGCACCCCCCCTCCAGCCCTTGCTTCAGGAGGCTGCCCCCTGCCTCTCCCTCCCCACCCTGTCGCCTGCCTCAACTCCCACAAGAGCCACAGCTCCCCCAGCTGTTTTCCCATGATGGACAAACCAGGGCCAGGCCTTCTGCCTCCTCGGCCAGCTGGGCCACACCATGGACAGCCAGCCAGCTCCCCAGGGCTCGCCCTCACTGGCTCACTCTGCCATTCACCAGGGTCCTCTGCTATGGCCCAGACAACAAGAGATCAATACATTTTCTCAGTGGATATAAATCATCAGCCACCTGAGCGCCATTTAACAGGGATGCTGCTTCTTGAACCATAAAGGCCACAGAGGCACGAGCCTTCCTCAAGCATCCCACCAGCCCCATGTCCTCACGTGAGAAGATGGTCAAGTATTAATCATGTCCTAATTTCTCTAGGTCCAATGTACTAGACTGTTCTCTCGCTCCTCCCCAAGACGACCCAAACCATCACATACAGGTATGTGCTCGCACTGCCCTCCCGGGCTGCCCTCACCCTCCCCAATCTTCTGACCACCCCCTTAGTCTCTCTTCTTGAGGGCCATGGTTCTTTTGTGTTTTTAGATTTTCTTTGTCTTTTAATTCTTTTTGGGTTCTATACGTGGACACAGAAGTAAAAGAAAATGACACTTAAATATGAAAGAACTCTTTGCAATTAAATCCACAACTATGTATGTTTAGCTCCAGAGGCAGGCTCCCAAGTCCACATTCCCACGCTTCCAACAGGATGCCCGGTTAAATCTGAATTTCAGATAAACAAATAATTTTTAGTACATATATCCCATGCACTATTTGGGCTATGCTTCCACTAATATACGTACGTATGTGTATATATATATATATGTACATATACACATATATACACACACACACACACACACATATATGTATATATATTTTTTTTTATTTTTTATTTTTATTTATTTTTTTCAATATATGAAATTTATTGTCAAATTGGTTTCCATACAACACCCAGTGCTCATCCCCACAGGTGCCCTCCTCAATACCCATCACCCACCCTCCCCTCCCTCCCACCCC